CTTGGTAGTTACGAAAACTCACTCGAGGCTGAAGGCCTTTGTTATTACCTCGTCGGCGGTAAGGGTTTTATGAGAGTGAAATGACCTCGTTACGACCACCTAAACACAATATTCTAGAAGTGAATTACTTTCATCACAGTTGGATCGTTAAAGTGCTCGATCAAAAGATATCTGTCACTTCTATTATACTTTACGCCTCGTTTGCTTAAGCGTTAATCGCTCGTTAAGTTTCACACGTATCTTTTTGTAGAAGTCTTTCGCGCGAATTTATTATCACAATTATACCTCGACGCATATTTACAGATACTTTATACACGTCATTTGCACGTACGGACAGTACGGCAGACGTGTCGTTCTACATACCCGCTGCATTATATTCGTCGCTCGTAATAGAAAATTCCAAGTGAAAGTGCGCCTCGTAAATCTGAGTGTCAGAGAAGATGTTTTATAGTGACCCGATAAGCTAGCTGGCATTCGAAGGAGATAATGGGAAAACGTTTTACCCCGTTTTACGTAAGAAGTAACGATTGCTCCCTCGTGATACACTTACCCGCCCAAAACTCCTATATAAACCGGGGCACTTTTTTCGAACTCACCACTCAGCGAACAGTGCAGATCGCATACGTACACTTGAAAACGTCGCTCAGTTCTGGAAAAATGTTGTCGAAATATACGAAGGTTAGTAATAATAATGTTTATTTTATTTTCTTCTTTTTTTAAACAAAAATGTACCACAATTTTGTTGCCTCGTTGTCATGATATTAATCTGACGTACATACGGAAATTTGTAAATTCCCACACACGATTCTCACGTGATGTGTAATAAATTATTATATATATAATATTATTATGTAATATGAGCAACTGTATATGTAATATTCTATTTTTTGATTGCACATATATATAAGTCACTGGTAACGCGCGTTTCTTCAATTGCCCTGATGAGCCGCAGTTAGCGAATCATGAAAGTCCATTTCGATCGAGCGCGCGCGCGCGCGCGCACAGTGCAATCTCCACCGGCGGAAACCGCTCGCGAAGAAGTAGAGGTGAAGACATGTAACGTTGTTACAGACACGCAGACCGCGGTGTCTCGACCCGCCGACTCAATTTCTCCTCACTTCTACGCTAATCGCGAGTATAATTACACTCGCGGAGGACCTAATAAATCATAATTGCCGATAGTGCTCGCTCGTATATACTTTGTTATAGTTCCGTCTCGCCGCGCCGACGAGTAGAACAGGGAGATATGCACGCGGAAGTGCCGGCCTCTCGAAGATCTGTTCGCGCCTTCGCGTTCTCGCGGTAATCGCGTAACGGCAAATTGAAACGATACAAGCGAAAACGGTTACGTCACAATCTCATTTCTTCTACTTAATCCGTTAAATTTCGCAATATCAACGCGGAAATTTGAAATCGAGAAATCGCGAAATCCTCGAGACAGACTTCTCGCCGGTCGGAAGGTCGCAACGTCGGGTCGAATTTGACTCGCGATTAATTAATCGAATCGACGAGCTGAAACGATGTTGAAATTGCGGCCAACGGCGCGTCTATATTTACATGTCCGACGTTCGAGATTTCAGTTCCACATTAAATCTATTTAGTTCCACATTAAGTCTTCGAAAGTCTTCCACTGTATTCCTTTCGATACTACGAACGGGAATTTATTACTGTTTTCTCCACTTGAAGACGTAAAGCAGAATTCAAAACTTCCCCCCTGGAAGGTCTAAATTTCCTTTGTAGCATCAAAAAAAAAACATTATCAGTGCTCCTTTGATGCTACGAATGGGAAGTTACTTTCGTTTTCTCTGTTTGAAAATTTAATGTGGAATCAAGTAGACCTGATGTAGAAGTAAAGCTTCGACTCGAGGAAGCGCACGTATCTCACTGAGTCTGCGGTATGTCGAAAGAGAATCGGAGATTTTCGCGAGACAAAGTACGTAACGATACCTCGCGCGCAATTATCAGGGGGAGGGGGGAGACCCATTCACATAATTTCGCCGGTAATTGTAGAACAAACGGGGAAAGGTGTCTTCGTTATATAAAACGGTCTCACTGTCAAGTTGCGATGAGCTGAATGAATCCATGCAACACGTGCGAGCCTAAGCGAGTCGAAAATTCATCCAATTACCGCCACGTCCCGTACGTGGCTTCGTACGCTTCGGGAAACTTACTGAGCGCTTGCTAAATTAGCACGCAGCCACGGTATCGAATACGAGTTACGATTGAACGAAAGAAAGGGAAAAAAAAGGGAAAAAAGACGGTTGTTTTTTTTTCACGAATCGCGTATTCCTCGTGCGTTTACACTTCAAGACACGTCATGCCACGCACGGTCCATCACAGATAGGTGAACCGCGTCGGTTCCGGTCTGCTTTCGCTTTCATGGTGTCGAAAGAATGGAATGGAATGGCTCTATAATCTACACGTACTTACGTGTGGATGAAAGTACGAAATGGCTCTTGGAATATGCGTTCGTACGGATGTCGTTTACGGAAACGACTCGAATTTTCAGGCCGGTCGGTCCGGCTAAAATTGCTCGATTTTTTCGGGAACTCGAAGATATGTTCCGACTGCTCGAATTGTTCCATCTGTGAGGCTGGGTAATGGCGTGATTGTGAATTTTTGCGATATGGCATCGTGTTTAACTTCCGGAAGACTCGGAAGTGTCCGATCAAGCTAACTCGAGAACGGTCTTACGAGATACATCCGTAAAAATCTCATTGCCTTTTCTTTCTAGGTCGCATTCTTGTTGCTGGCTTGCGTCTTCGAGAGTTGCTTGTCGTGGCCGCCACTCCACTTTTATTACAATTCAGAATTCAAGTTGCCATCGATCATTGTGAATAATATACGAGATGCTATCGCAAATGATAAGGTTTACGATCTTTACGATCATAAAAGGATACTACTTCCATTTGGTCCTGAGCTAATCTTGACGCAAGGACAATATAAAATATTCGTGAACGAATACTTTCCAAAACCGGAGGAAGTATCACCGGCACCGGTCCTAAAACCGGAGGAGGAATCACCGGCACCGGTCCCAAAACCGGAGGAGGAATCACCGGCACCGCTCCCAAAACCGGAGGAGGAATCACCGGCACTGACATCGGCCTCGGAAGAAGATGTGTCCGATCTGAAAAGTAACAGAAACCTTCCGCATCGTCGTAGAGAACGCGATTCCCTTCTTTTTTTAAACAAAATCATTATTTCATGAGAATCCTTCAATCTTGCAGGGCAAAAGAAGAGTTCGGCTGAAGTCACATGGGCGGACATCAAAGTGCAGGACTTCTCGAAGAACCCGGAGGAGATTAATGTTCCTCACGACGACGACGATGCCAAAGAAGAGAAGCATCATGATGATGAATTCGACTACAAACTGCACAACATCAAATCACTCGTACAAGCTTTACTAATCCCTGCGAAATCTTCCAAGATGGATGTATTGCACTCCTTCTTAAAGGAAGATGATGATTTTACTTCCGAGGAAATAATAAAGCTGACAGAAGCCGTTAGCGCGGCTAAGAAGAAAACGCCAACATTTCAGTCAGAATTATTTAGATTGCCGATACACGACGTGAATAGAAACGACGAACGTATACAAACTACGTTCGACACAGATCACGAAGAAGACGAATACGAATAATTTAAACTGCCCGAAATATGAAAATCGTGGCATGAATAGCCAAAAAAATTACCGATATCGCAATATCACGCTTGCTACTAACTAATTATGACTAATTATGCCCATTAGTCGTTGTTAAATCAATTTATGCCCGTTAAATGTATCAAGCTCGTCAATTTTTCAAACGCGATATTGTTCAACGATCATTACCATATAAAAGATATACTGAGAAAAAGGTTTCTTCAAATTTAATCAATTTCATTGCATCCAAACAAATTTCATCACTGACATGCTCCAAAGAAACTAATGTTCCGATTAATAAGTAGAGTAAGATTGTTAGACTCTTCAGCGAATATGTATCTTCACTTCAAATAAAAAATTTGTTCGAAACGAGAGGTAATTTTTTTAAGAAAGAAATTATTTGTTTCATGTCGCATATTTATTGTAACAAAATAATATTTTATTTGGTTAAAGGATATTTTTTCAAATAATTTCTCTTCTCGTTCTTCCTGTTCAATAACAGAGTTTTTTTTGAACGAGACGATAAAATGTTCACTCGAACAATATTTCGTATACGTTGTATCTATGAGACAAATTTTAGTCAAATCAATAGAAACGCTAAAGAAACCTTTTTTTCCGTGCAGAAAGAAAGAAAGTAAGTATCGGTATCAGCGGAAAGAAAGGGTTCAGGGATAGAAAGTAACAACGAGCTCGGGATATTTAAAGAAATGTTAACGAGACGACCGCTTAAACGACGCACCTGCCGCGAGTCCCTCGTTGCTTACTAATTCGATGTAGATTTACAAGTCATTGGGCATTACTTCAAGATGTAATTGATCGTCATCATATATTTGTGAATGTAGATTCTGAATAAAAGAGCCTAAAATAATTAGAGTAGTCTTCAGAGTGTCGTTCAGAGTATCCCTCCTCCGATTTCGTTCTCCTCCGGTCGCGTCTCGAGCATCGCGAATTATCCGAGCATAAAATGGGACACCTGTTCGGCAATGCTCCATCGTCGTCGTGCTCGATTCACCGGACGAATTTCACCGTACGAATTTCACCATACGCGCGTAACATCGTTAACTTGCGAAAGCCCAAGAAAATTCGAACGAGTGCGCAGCGACGCGCTGCAAACGACGACGATGTTGCTCCTCGGTTTTCGGCTATCAAGGTTCTCCCAGAGAATTCGCAGAGCATTTCGAAACGCGCGTTGAAGATCAATGCTACACTCACGCTAGCGATACTACTAGAGACAGAAAGAGAAAGAAAGAGAGAGGGAGGGAGGGGAGAAAGAAAGACATACACGTACAATTCACGTGAGAGAGCGCGTAAAGCGTAGTCTACAATGGGCAGTAGGGGTATATTTCATCAAGAAGTAAGAATAAGAAATTGACCAATCATATTCGAGCGTAAAGGGAATAATCGACTGTGATTGGTCAATTCCTTATTCTTACTTTTCATAAACATACCCTTACTGCCCATTGTAGAGCACACTCGAGGCGTGAATTTCGGCGGCTATGTAAGGAGAAAAATTAGATTAATCGCATTCGCGATCGCGCCCGAGATTAGGGGGAAAGAAGCGCTCGCAGAAGTCGAAACACCGTGTGTGTGTGTGTGTGTGTGTGTGTGTTCCGGTTTTAGCCGCTGGTATTCGTTTCTTCGGTGTGAATCGCATCGTACCGAGAACGGCGGTTTTGCAACAGCGCGCGACGGTGGCCGCGGCGTACTCGCCGTAATTAGTTTGACTTTCACCCATCGTCCATGTCGGCCGTCCACCGCACAAGTGGTCGTCGCCGTCCGCGGCAGAGGGGGGCGGGAGGAGGTGGGCGATTATCCGTCGCCGTCCGCGAGCGATCGCGCGGACAGAGCGTCGCGCGCGACTTTTCGTATACTTACACACACATACACACACACACACACACACAGAGAAAGAGAGAGAGAGAGAGAGGGGAGCGATAGATTTGGAAATCGAAGTATAAATGTGCGAATGCGAACGGCATATCGGCCAAGGGCGGTCGCGGACTCCACCTCGGGCCATCGAGATCCCCCCCCCCCTTCCCACCTTTCGATCTCGATTAATACCGTATATATTAACGGGTCACGGAGAGGCCATGAGAGCTCGGATAGGTATCATTTAAATACCGGCTGCGGAAACGATAGCGATGACGACGAAATATATTAATATATACTCGGTAATCCCGTCATCCTTGAGAAGGCACAAATGGAAAGTTTCGTCGAGTTCTCCGTCGGAAATTTCGAAAGATCGGCGGATTATATGGAGTTTTAAAGTCGGATTCTAAGGGTGGACGATCGCATAACACTGCGCGCTTGCGACACTTCGTTCGCGAGAGGAGATCGTGTTACACGGCCGGGGAGCTTCTCTTTTAGCATTTTTGCTTACTCTCGTCGTTGCTGTTCTCTCGAAACGCGTTACTTCAATAGCGGTAACAGCGGATGGACACGGACACGGACCGTCGGGTCGGTCGAGTGGTACTTAAGACGCGTTGGCTGAATGTAGATCTTGTCGCTTTCATGAGGAGTGCTGGAAGGATAGTCGGCTTCTCGACTCGTGCACTGATTCGATTTTTCCGAGAGCTCCGAAATCTTAGGCTTTGTTCTCTTTACGGGCCCGCGCGCAGAAGAGTGCCCGTTCGGCGCACAACCCTGAATACAGAAAAATATATAGCGCATTCAAGTAAATGTGTTACTTGTTTCAAGTATTTCAGAAGTTATTCGCAGATATATCATAAATTCGTCGTAAGCGTCAGATTAATAATATAATCCGAATTCTGGTAAGTTTAGTGCTTCAATCAAGTATATTAAGTCAAAACAAATTTCGGCTTTCGCTTATTCGAATAAACTGAATTTAACTTTTCCTCGAAAGCTTATAATACTCTTCTCTTGAGTACGTAGTAATGAGCTTTCCTCAAATTTGCGATGAGTATATTTCAAGACTATTTTATCAGGAAAAAATGTTCCTCGTTAAAGATAACCATTATTTAAAAGAAGAGAATGTCTGAAACTGAGTAGTCGCTTTTCTTAACGGTTGAATGATATTTTTCTCCGTGTGCAAAGAGAAGTCTGAGATTGAGAAGGAATCTCAGGGGAACAAAAATTGTCAACTTTAATGGCAAATATCTCAGCTATCGAATGGCCGATCTTTCTCCAAGTACACGAGCAATTAGATGGTATTTCAATGTATACGCGGTACAAGTTAATAGTATTCTTATCAAACTCATTTCACTTTACAACCTCCTTAAAGACTGTGCGACGATCCGTGTCTCTCTCTCTCTCCCTCTCTCTCTTTCTCTCTCTTCTGTTTCGGGCGTCCCCGTGCCGCTGGCGCGCCGGTGAAACTCGTCCCCGACGGCGGCCATTAGTCACGTAACTCCGACTGTGAAAATTGTACAATGTATTAATTAGAATAGGCTATCGATTCGCGCCCGATGTGTGTCCGCTGCGCGCGCGCTTTCGCGCACTTTGTCCGACATCGGCCGATTTTCCGCGCGCGCGCGCGCGCGTTCAACTTCCGCGCCGGGGTAGACACGAGAGTTGAGTAATCGCTCGACGGCACGAAATTACGCGCGTTCTTATCGAACCGCGACAAGAGGACGTAAAAACAGACGTGTTATAAATTGTGCATCCCCCTAATCACCAGTTACAGCCTAATTGTTTGTAAAGTTTCTCTATCGCGGTTCCGATTATGCGGCGAGGACGGTAATCGTTAATTATTATCGGGATGAGGTAATTTTGAGTCACGCGAAATCACCAAGGATTATACGCACGAGAAAGAGCGAGAAAGTGAATGAGCGAATGAGAGAGAGAGAGAGAGAGAGAGAGAGAGGGAAGGAGGGGAGAGAGAGAGCCGTCTGAGGATGCGATACAATAATAATAGAATATATGGATGCTAAGGTGTGCGTGTCATGCATCCATGTAACATCACATTCACTCGCGATGTTCTCGCGGTCTGCTCGCTCACGTCCAGCAAGCGCGCGAGGCAACGAACGGTGTCGTTACTCGCATTCGTCAGAAGAGACCGCAGGCCCGACTCGCTCTGATACCTTTGCCCTGATATCGTTACAGATTCTTCTTTCATGCTCCGTTGTGTCCATCCGCACGCGGCGATCGCGACGATAACGCTCGGCCAGCAGAAAAATAAATTCGCCGATTCACCGAGGCACAAACTTTCCTCCCTTTCATAGCGCGAGGTCGGATCGTCGTCCGGGTAACATTCTCTCTCTTCGGCGTCGACGCGCCTCTTCCCTACACGGAGAACATCACCGAAGATCCCGCGAGTAGCGCGACGGTGCCTTTCCTTTCCCCGTCCCTCCCCTAGCTTTTTATTTCAGTCTATTCTGTTCGTTCAGTATTTTATTTGGTACTTTATTTCATGCCAATCTCTATATCTGTACATAAAGTTCTCTCTTACTTTAGATACTCACATTAGTTTAATTTCTCCCGAAATTCTTCATCTTTCATTTAATTATCCACTTATCCATCGTAATTTTAAGTGATTTAATTAATTCTTTTCACTTTTCTCCCACCTTCGGTACTGTTTCTCCGCTTCATTCTCTTTCTTTTCCGCTGTTTGTTATTGTATATTATTCCGCTTTCCGACTTATGCAACTAACTTAACTCGAACAAGGTTCGTGCAGTCACTCGTGTAACAAGGTGGGTCGGATCCGATCGGTAGAAGCATTTTATAGTTTTTCAACTAATTTTTTCGACATTAAACACTTTTTATTCCCGGGTAAAAATGATCATATATAAATCACATATGACTGCACATAATTATATATAATTTTATGATTATAATCTTGAATAATTTTTATATAATCTTTCTTCCCGGTTCTCACAGTAAGTAAGAAAATACGTAAAAATAAGTGAAATATATCGCAAGATATATAAAATACTTGAAACATAACGTTCCACCAGCGCGTACGCGGAAGCATTGGAATATGGATCCGGTCGGATCCGACCCAACTTTGCCGAGAGTTAATTATTGTCTTTAGAGAGCCCCTAAAATAAACGCTTCTCTCTCTCTCTCTCTCTCTCGATACGTGCTCGCGCGAATCGCTCCGTGTTCCTTTGTAGAGAGCGTCCTTTCTATCCTTCATAGAGAGTAATGTCCTCGCGCTCGAGAGGGCCACTGACCCACATAGGTGCGCGTGATTGTGTGCGCGACAATAAAGAGCCGCGGTCTCCTCCGCTTCCGCTCGTCGAATCGTATTAAACGCGCGCGCACGAGCGTCCAATAAATAAAACGGCGGGACGGATGAAATCAGAGTGAAATGCTCCGCGCGCGCTGCACATGCGGCGCATATCAAAACTCAAGTCGAGAGCGGTCTACCGTGGTCGGCCGACGTTACGAATGCCGGTCATACCTTCGACATGCGATCGCGTAACTGAGCGGCTACGAGAGCGAACGACTCTACCGGACGACCGAGCTCCGCTCGATGCCGGACGTTCGTTCGTACGTACGTTGCTCTTTCTCTTTCAAGAGCCCGACGTTGTTACTCGACTATTTTCGCTTTTCATTTTTTGCGCCACTCTTGCGTCACGCTCGGATTTCTATCCTCGGCGCGAGTCACCGACTGCAATTTTCCTCTCCGCGCGCACTCTCGATCGCTCACCCCGAGAGGTCGCACCTCGGATTAGATCGTAGATAGATCGTAGATCCTCTCCCATTTCGATCCACGGATTTTACAGGCTGCGTTTGGAATACCACATTGAAGATAGAGTAACGCTTAATGACCAATCATGGTAAAGAAATCTTCGTTCTTTTTTGTCCTGACTGGTCAATTAAACGTTACTTTACTCTCACCCCGTGAGAACATCCGTAGAATCGACGTGGAATCAACTTCCTTGTCGCCGATCACACGTGGAACCAACTTCCTTGTCGTCAATCGTCGATCGTGGATGTTTCCTCATCGGGCAGTGTGTGGTGTTTCCGAACACGGTCTCTTCGGTTATCGTGTGCCACTTATCGAGTGCCACACGGAAAAGGTCTGGTTGCGCTAACCGGAAAGGGAGATGCGTCTTGGTTGAAGGAAACGGAATTTCTGTGAGAAAATCAGAATCACATATTGAGCCGTAAGAACCGGAAATTCTGTTTCCTTCCCTGTAAGCGCGTGATATTCCTAGGACCTTATATGAATATTATTCGATATTAAAATCATACTTTATTTATTTATGTATATTTCATTTTTCTACATTATTATTTCTTTTTTTCTAATATTCCGAGAACATTTTTATAATATGCCAAGAATATTATGCGAAGTGGACATAACATCGACAGAACATTTCTGTAATATGAAAAAAATATTACATAACATTCTTAGGATATTATAAGAATATAACGTCTAATATTCCAAG